TGAAGCAGAAATAGACGTTTTTCTGGAACTCCCTAGCTTTCTCCATGATCCAGTGTATGTTGGCAATTTGATCTCTAGTTCCTCTCCCTCTTCAAAATCCTGCCTGTACTTCTGGTAGTTCTCGGTCCACATACTGCTGGAGCCTAGCTTGTAGGATTTTGAGCATAACTTTGCTGGCATGTGAAATGAGTGCAATGGTGCAGTAGTTTGAACATTCTTTGGCATTGCCCTTCTTTGGAATTGGAATGTAAACTGACCTTTTCCAATCCTGTGGCCACTGTTGAGTTTTCCAAGTTTGCTGGCATATTGAGTGTAGCACTTTAACTGCATCGTCTTTTAGGATTTTGAATAGCTCAGCTGGAATACTGTTGCCTTCACTGATCTATTATACATAAACAAACAGAACATCACACAGATTAAATAAAACCTGTACATGGCTAACAGTCACCAAGCAATCTAATCCTAATTTTCCAACACACAGTATGCTATCCAATGACACCAACACCAGAAAAGCTTTAAATTTATTAATGTTCAAATCAAATTGCTGTTTCATAGAAATAATAAACAGCATCCAAAGTTGTTCAACATTTTGATCTTTCCATCTGCTCTTCTGTGATGAACACATTCCATTATTCACTGAAGTGATGTACCATATCTGATCAATACATTCTTTGATAGAAGGAGTAATGGGTAATCTCCATTTAGTAGCAACAACTAATTTACCATCAGTAAGAAGATTTTCTACCAATTCCATATGCTTACTTTTAACAACATCTTTAAGATTTTCATGCAAAACATACATACATAGACTTCATAGGAAAGGAATATCCAATCATACAATTCATATTGGTTATAGCTTTCCCCCCAAAGTTGTAATCCCTTTAGAAGTCCACCATAAATGGAAAAAAAATCTGCATCGGTTTCCCCACAATTCCAACAAGTGCTGCTAACATTGGAAAATGAAAATTTTGCAACCACAACACCACTAATTTAGACCATTTTTAATGTCTTCCTCAGTTGCTGACATAAGTAGAACATAATTAGCATGGAAAAGTCCGTCAATGGTTGGATTAATATGTACAGCCAAATATTTAAAGGATGCATTTGTCCAACATCTGCATACAAACTTATTCCCACCTTATTTCCATAAATCTCCTTATCCAGTGTTGCCAAAGGTTCTGTACAGCTTATAATGGGCAACCCTGCCTTGAACCACATTTTCACTTGAAAATTCTGATTTTTGTCCATTAACCATTATCTTGACTCTAGGGTTTACAGAAAGTGTTCTTATGAGTTTTAAAAAGTTGCCACCAAAATCAAATGTTTCTAAAGTCTGAACTAGAAATTCCCACTCAATGCTATTAAATGCTTTCTCTGCAGCTAAAAGTATTAATGTTACACATTATCATTATGGCAAATATTAATAATATCTATCACTCTGATTTCTTTTAATCATATCTATTGCTCCTCTTGCATTGTTTGTTAGGGAGCAACCACAGATAATTATTAATATACCCAGATAGATTAATATACCCAGATTCAATCTTTTAACCCACAACATTGTCAAGATTTCTAATATTGATTCAATAATGCTAAGGGTAATAGGATGCTGGCACTGAGGGATCCTATTCTGGAATTAACACTATCCTACATTATTCCAAGGTCTAGGCAGTATACCCACATTCATTAAATAACACTGTTGAATATACTGCTACCATGTCTAAGTTGGTTTCTTAATATTGCTTGAACAGTTTCCTTATGACTTGGCAGATAGTTGTGTCAATGCCCTAGTACACTTGTTGATTATGGAAATAGATCAAGTCATTAAGACAACCACTCCCAAGTGCCCTTTCCCACCCCTTAAGGATCTTTTGGCTTATTAGTTTTCTAGAAATTGTATAGCAATGGCTTGGGAAAAATCTCGGGATGTCTACAGCTGAACTATAAAATTCAGGATAATTCAGGAAAATCAGTTGTAGATTCAAGCTCTCCTTTTGGCAGAGATGAAGGCAAAGAGAAATTCCCCACGAGCATGAACTCTTGAGCCAGCTGTTTCATATTATCACAAAGCTGTTTTGGATTTTTAGACAGATCAGTTCCTTGAACAAACTATGGTGACTCTTTATTCTAGGCATATCAAGGGAAAAAAAACACTCTTACCAGCACTGATTAGCTGCCATATTTGAGTACAATATTTGTTGTTCCATGGTCAATATTGTTGCCAATATTGCTTGAATGTTTAAGTTCTTATGGTGGACACTGACTGGTAATTTGGAGTATTAAAAAAATTAGAAGATAATCTCAAGTGCCTGAAAATGCTTCATTCAGCATTTCAGAAAAATATTTCCTTCCACGGGGCCTGTAAACAAAATGTGTAAAACGTTATTCATATTTTAAAACTACACTAAAATCTGTAGGAATAAACACGTAGTTACTGAATTCAAAGTTCGTTTCAAAGTTCCTATCCATGACCATTTAATTTTTATATATGATATTCATTCTTTTTAATGAAACTACAAGCATATATAAATACCTCGCCTAAATGACTATTCACCCAAAGGCTTTTGATTAGTGAAACTTACAGTTCTATCAAAGATCGATGTAATGCAATCTGTCTTTGTTCATTATTAAAACAAACTGTTTGAATGTAAAAAAAAAATATATAATGTCATTATCACATACACCCCTACAAAAGCATTCTTACCAATTATTTATATTTCACCAATGTCCTTTTATCCATAAAGTTGCATCAGAAATCTGAAATATTTATTTATTCATTTATTTTACATTTCTGTCCTAGTTTTCCACTAAATGGTGCACAAGAAAGCTATAAAATATGAAGTAAGGTATAAGTAACCTTACAATGGAAAACAAAGCAAGCAGTTAAAACATGAGTAAAATTGATAAAAAAACAATTGGACAAATTGTGTTATTTTCAGTAGGCACATAATCAGCTTATAAGGCTAAAGATCTGTCTGAACAAAAATATCTCTGTTGTGTTACCTGGTTGTGTAAGAGCATCCATGAATAAGGCAGGGCAATTGTGCGATAAAAGTCAAAATAAGAAGGGAACCTTTTTGGAATAGAGAAATCAGAATAGCACTGCATTCTTTGATTTCTAAAACCAGGTTTGTAAAAACATAAATATACATACACTTTTATTTATTTATTCATCTATTTTATTTATTTATTCAAAAGGTTAAGACCTTTTTATTTAATCAATATTTTAATAAGTTTTAATATTGAATTTTATTACCATATTTTAATTTGCAGCCAGAGTGGGTTGTCAGTTTATTGTTTAAGTACCTCGGAATTTTATTTGTTTAAGCCATCCTGAGGATCTTGCAAAGGACGGCATAAAAATATCTCAAATAAATAAATAAATATTTGTTACATAGCCAAAGCTCAGGTAGAACCATAAAATGTAACATGATAAAATACAACACAATTGTGAACACAATACAATTGTGAACTGTATTGTAAAATAAGAAAATATTTTATTTAAAATACTGAAATACTGATGTTGAATGAAGTGCAAGATAATTTAACACATCAAACCCTGTTGTACACTGTCCAGAGAGCTTTTCACTGAATGAATGGTATGTAAAAGCATTAAATTATTTATTTAAATAAAGAGACAGTAATAAAATAAGTACTTTTTAGACCCCCTCTAGCAAAAATTGATTAAAAGTTGCCCCTTCCATGGAATCAACTGACATTGCCAGTGTGGTCCTAAACATGTATATTCAAAGCAATCGCAAGTTTAATCTGATGAACCTGACTGGCAATGCTCACTTTATTTATTTATTTATTTATTTATTTATTTAATTTATTAGAACATTTCTATGCCGCCCCTTGCTGAAGCCTCGGGGCGGCTTACAACACAATAAAATACAATAAAATACAAAAATAACAATATAAAATTAAAATTAACAATATAAAATAAATAAAAAATATAAAAGAAGTCGCCCTGGCCAGATAAATAAGCAAATATTGTTAACAATTAAAATGAAGTTTAAATAAAAAGGTCTTCACCTGGCGCCGAAAGACAAATAACGACGATTATTTATAAACTATATTTATATCACACTTTTATTCTTCCATCAAGGAAACTGAGGTAGCTGGCTTAATTTTCCTCCTCTCTTCATTTTATCCTTACAACCACCCTGCAGAGAAGGTGAGGCTAAGAGTCAGTAACTGACACTGAAGCCCATTAGCTTTATGGTCTGGCTTCTTTTCTACATTCTCTTCTACATTATGTGGGAACTGCTAGAACTCTTCTCTCTGTTCTTGTGCGTAAACCTTCATCCACTGCTGCTAGCAAGTCCACTTCTCCCTCCCAAGAAGGATTCAGTTTCTAATAAAATGCTTCATGCTGCGCCCAGAATCATCCTCCCAGCTCTTGCGAAGTATGACCCATCTTTGCCAGCAGCCCTCCCTCCAAACTGCACAGCCTCTGGTCCCGGAATCCGCATCATTCACGTCAGCACCACCTCGGTAGCCAGTTGTTCCCCTGCAGCATTTTTCTTTCCCTGTGATTCCTCTTGTAAGAACTGGGAGGATGGATGAGAAGGCTATCTGGGCCCCGAGGTTCTTGAGTTTCCTTCCCAGAGGTTCAAAAGCTGATGTGAGTGCTCTGTAGCCCTTCCCATTTGGATTAGAAGAAAGAGATCGGCATCCCCGGCTTTCCTCAGCGCGGCCTTCTCCATCTTGGCTTCAAGCTGCTGTTGCTGTTCCATCCCTGGTGCTTCCTGGTGCTTTTGCAGTTTTGTCCAAGAACTCTTCACTTTCCCTTCCTCCCTGGAGGGCACTGCTCAAGCACTCTCACTTTTCTTCCACTAGTGCTACCAGCTTGCATTTGTTGTAGGTGTTGGCCTTGAGGAAGATCACAAACATTGCATGTTCATTGCAGGGGGCTACCGCTGGAGAGTCCTTTCCATCCCTTGCCGCCTCTACAAGATGGGGGAGAGAAATGGAGATGTATTGATTTTTGTGCACTGTTACATAGAAACATGGAAACAGAGCAAGTCAGAAGGGGTCTCCCGGGCCATCTAGTCTGACCTCCAGCACCAGCCGGCTCCGCTCACGACATGCCCACCATGTGGACGTCCAGCCTATCCTTGAACACCCGCACATCTCCCTGCATCTGGCAGCCTTTCCTGCAAACAAGGCAACATTTTTTGTAACACATCGACTTGAAGCAGGAAACCAATTTGAACCCTTGCAGTTCTTTTGCGCAGGTAGTGCTATTCACAAGGTGACAACGTGCAAAATTCTTTTTTATTTTATAAATTAAATTTTCATCTAAAATACAACCAAAAATACAACTGAAATCGAAGCATGCAAAATTAAAAATATGATTAAAATAATCCTTAAAAATATGATGCCCCCCTGCCAGAACCATAGGCTACATTACAGATAGAAAAACTCATTCAAATACTCTTTCCTCCTTCCAAAACTGCAATGATTCTTTGATGGTTCAAATCCTTTCCCTTTTTAAAATGAATAAGTATGCCCCAAATCTCATTAATCTTATGCCCTTTTCTCACTTTAACATCAGAAGTTAATTTATCATTGATAGTTGTAGTCCAAACTTCTCTATACTGATCACGCAATTGGTAATCATATTTTACTTTCCAGTTCTTAACTATAATTAATCTAGAAGCACAAAGTTCTACAATGAGGGCTAACTCATTAGGCCAGATTTCTAAGATAGGCACTTCAGTCCCCAAGCCTGTGGGAGCCCGGTACTTCAATCTAAGCCCATTTTGGCTAATGGAAATCAAAAGGATGATCCAGACTTAGCTATATTTGGAGCAGGCGTATTGAAAACAATGAGGCTTCAGCTCATCGTGACTAATCCAAGTCTCACTGATTTTAAAGGGTTTACTCTGAGTTTCACTAGGTCTGCTCTGGACCCAACCCATAACATACCCTGCCTTATGTTTTGATCACACTGTGATTATTTGAAATCGCTACAGTTAGTTATGTGATATGAAAAATAACACCATGGAGGAATATTCAAAATAATAAAAGCAAGCTATAAAAGATTCAGAATGCAATTACGAAGCTAACTAACCCAAGAATTAAGGAGAATCCAAATTCTGGCAATTACACTGCTTGCCACAAGATGGCGCTGCCTACTTAAAATAAAAATGTTCCTTTCTGGCGAAGATCAAAGCTCCTCCCAGCAATGTGCTGATTAAGGGGACCGGGTGAACCTTTCCGGAGGATGGCGTGGAGGATGGCGTGGAGGCTGTAGCATGACCACTGGCCATTTCGTTTCTTTCCGGACGGATTTAATTTCTTTTGCACGAAAGCAGGAGTGCAACCAGAGGTCACCATGGCTGTTTTGCACCAGTGCCCCCTGGCGAAGAGCTGGATGCTGTGGCTGGTGCTGCTCCACGCAGCCTGGGCACTGGGGAGCGGCCAGCTCCACTATTCTGTGCCGGAGGAGTCCCAGCACGGCGCCTTTGTGGGCCGCATCGCCCAGGACCTGGGCCTGGAGCTGGAGGAGCTCACGTCCCACGCGTTCCGGATGGTGTCACAAGGCCATGGAGACTACTTCAAGGTGAATGTACAGAATGGGATTCTATTTGTGAATTCCCGGATAGACCGGGAGGAGCTGTGTGGCAAGACTACTGTCTGTGCGATTCATCTGGAGGTGTTCCTGGACCAACCCATGAGAGTCTTCCATGTTGAGGTAGAGATCAAGGACATCAATGACAATGCTCCTGCATTCAGAGCAGCTGAGCAGAAGTTGACTGTTTATGAGTCTACTCTTCCAGAGACATCCTTTCCACTGGAGGGAGCCTTTGATGATGACATAGGTGCAAACACTGACCTCAGCTACAAAATCAGCCCAAACGAATATTTCTCCTTGCATGTTCAGAACAACGAGAAGCATGGTGAGTCTTTATTTCTTGTGTTAAGGAGACCTCTTGATAGAGAGGTAACCCACATGTATCACCTCTTACTTACAGCCACAGATGCAGGCAAACCAGAGCAAACCGGCACTGCAGAGCTGATCATCAGTGTGCTGGATGCGAATGACAATGCCCCAGTTTTTAATCAGTCAGTGTATAAAGTAAAAGTCTCTGAAAACGAGAAAAAAGGAACGTTAATCATCAGTCTCAGTGCAACAGATCTTGATGAGGGAATTAACAAAGACATCGCATATTCAATTCAAAGTGTTAATCCAAGCAGTTTAGGTGCATTGTTTCACTTGGATGCAAACAGTGGACAGATCAGATTAAATGGTGAACTTGATTTTGAAAGCATTAAGCTAGGAGAAATTGGGGTGGAGGCAACTGACAAAGGTACACCACCAATGAAAGGGCACTGCAAAGTCCTTGTTGAGGTCTTGGATGTGAATGACAATGCTCCGGAGGTGTCTGTCTCCTCCCTGTCGGTGCCGGTGCCAGAGGACTCCCCGCCAGGGACAGTGGTGGCCCTGATCAGCGTCTCAGACAGAGACTTTGGTGCCAACGGGCAGGTGAGCTGCTCCCTGTGGCCTCCAGGACTGCCTTTCCAGCTAGTCTCCAACTTCAGGAATTATTATTCCCTGGTGCTGGCTGAGCCCCTGGACCGGGAGCGGGTGGCGGAGTATGAGGTGGCAGTGATGGCACAAGACCAAGGGGCCCCGTCACTGTCCGCGAGCAGCAGCCTAGCCGTGCCCATCAGCGACGTCAACGACAACGCCCCGGCCTTTGCCCAGCCCTCCTACGCGGTCTTCGTGCGGGAGAACAACCCGCCCGGCGCCCACATCTTCACGGTGTCCGCCTCGGACCCGGACCTGGCCGAGAACGCCCTGCTCAGCTACTGGATGGACGAGAAGCTCTGGCCGCTGGCCAGCTACGTCTCGGTGCACTCGGAGAGCGGGAAGCTCTACGCCCTGCAGTCTCTGGACTACGAGGAGCTGAAGCTGCTGGAGTTCCAGGTGAGCGCCAGGGACGCCGGGCTGCCCTCCCTGTGCGGCAACGTGACCATCCAGGTCTTCGTGGTGGACGAGAACGACAACGCGCCTGCCGTGATGCAGGAAGCCCCCACCTTGCTAGTCGTCCCCTTGGCAGCCGGGCACGTGGTGGGCAAAGTCCGTGCCCTGGACGCGGACTCCGGCTACAACGCCTGGCTGCGCTATGAGCTGCTCGAGGCTGCCAGTGGCCCCTGGCATGTGGGGCGGCACAGTGGGGAGATCAAAACCACACGTGCCCTGGAGGAAGCAGAGGGTGGCGGCAGCCAGAGCCTGCTTGTCTTGGTGCAGGATCACGGCGAGCTGGCTCGGTCGGCCACAGCCACGTTCAGCGTGTCCCTGGTGGCGAGGGCCCAGGCTGGCCACCCCGACGCACTGCTCCCCCGGCTGGGGGCGAACCCCAGGCCCCTGGCGGACAGTTCCCAAGTCTACCTGATCATTGCAATCTGCTCAGTGTCCAGCCTGTTCCTGCTGTCTGTGATTGCCTACGCGGCCCTGCGATGCCCATGCCGGCCCAAGGGGGGAGTCGTGTACGGCCCCGGCACTGCCACCTTGGTCTGTGCCAGCGAGGTGGGCAGCTGGTCCTACTCCAACCGCCACAGCCACCTCCTGGCAGCTGCCACTGGTGAGGCAGGGGCCAAGACCGACCTCATGGTCTTCAGCCCCAACATTCCTCTCTTCGCAGAGAACGGTGAAGTGCAGAAGGGGAACGAGCTGATTCCCAGTGCATCCGGGCAGGTGAGTTGCAGAGAGCTCTCTCTGCTTGATGTGATGCCGTTTCACCATGGTTTAGCTGCTATGGGCAAAAAAAAAATGAAATTATCTCTAACAAATGTGGCACTGGGTGACACCATTTGGGCCTATTACAATTAAAATGTAATAATTATGGATTCATCCTTGAGAACTGCCATTTGCAGACAACAAATACTACAGTCTTTTAAGGTACATGGTATGAATGTTTACACCCGTAGATCTTTTGCCTCTTAGAAGTCCAGGTATGTGGACTGTTTGCTGCTCAAATTAGAAAGCATATGGTAGGAGTATGTTTGATTCATTTGTAAAGTCATCAGTTCATTTCCAGATCTCTCAATTTTTCATAGTGTAGCACTGAGCACATTCATCTGTCATTGGACTGTAAGTACCTGATAAATCAGTTTAGAATTCTGTACATGCAGACGGTTTCTCGCTTTCGCAATATCATCAGTGAACACTTATTGCATCTGCAGCTGTCCCAGCCAAAGGTGTGATTGCTTGGAATTAGGGTGTGACCTTTGCATAATTAGGGCCAAGAGGCGCTTCTGTCTGGCCAGAGGGAAGAGGCAGTGTTCCCACCAAGACTTCCCAAAAGGTGGCATCCCAGGTGGCTTCCCTCCGCCCACGCCAGTTGTGGCTGAGAAGATAGAGCGCCATCTTTAGGGCAGGTGCTGGGGTGGGGGGGTCCCCCAAGGTGGAGCCCCTCCTGCAGCCATGGAAGGCCGTAGAGGACTGCACCCTGAGGCGGGAAAAGGCCATTCAGCTAGCAGAAGGCCTCGGCCAGCAAATGTGCCCAGGGCCAGGCCCGCCATGCACAGCCATGGTGGGATTAGCGTCTGGTTGAGTCACTCATGATGCAGCGCTGCTCTGATGCAGGATTTCATGTGTTTGTTGTGTACTTGGATGTGTGCAACCAGCCCTTTTTCAGCCCCGAACTTCCAGTGCCCCACTGTGGCTTGCCCTGGAGAATCGCCACCGTATGTTGGCGGTGGCAGATACTTCGGCGAGGTTATGTGGGGAGACTGGCAGGGAGCAATTTGGGGTGGGGAACTGGGTAGGCTAGGAATGTGCCGGACCTTTCGGTTTCTCCCTCCTCTGGATATTCCTCTCCTCAATTTCTCCACTACTTTTTTCTGCCTCAATGTAAAGGTTTCAGTTGTGGTTTTGCTTTTTGGTATTTGCTTTTATAGCTTTTTTGTCACATATAATGGTTGCCAGTCAACTTGGGCTTGAAGGTGATGTCATGTAAATTTAAATGATGATGATGATGATGATGACGACGACGACGACGATGGTGACGATGATGATTGCCTCTTTCAATTTCAAGCAATGGAATTCGTGGTAAAGGGAACGGGCAGCAATATATGGGATGCTGAAAGCATCACCAGAGGGGCACATGGTGTGAGGATTCCGGCAGAGCATGGATTTCATGCTGCGTGAGCAGCTGTAGAGGTGATAACAGTGGAGTAAATGTGGTGAAGAAACCGGAATGGGGCGCTGGTCCCCAGGTTGGGGACATGCGATGTGTGAGGCGCATCTTTGAGAGATGCCAGGACCCCACTGCCCCCGAGTCCCCCATGGGTTTGGGGGCTGCACAGGAATTTGGCCTGACTGTGGAGCAGCATTCCCAATCCGCCCTTCCCTGGGGTCTTTGATGTGGAAAGCCTGCTGCACTGGCTCCGTCACAGGTCTCCATTCCTTGTTCCTTTTGCGTCAATTTCCGCCTTCACGTAGTGTGTGCGCTGATCCTGGGCACTGAAATCATTTTCTCAGTCGGCCGTGACACAGAGAGCTGCCAGCCACCAGCACACCTTTTGGCCCACGAAAAATAGAGGTGCTCTTCCATCGCTCTCGCAGTCTCCACTCGGGTCTTGCGGGGCTTCCGCCCTCCTTGGGAGCAGGCGCGTGGGGGGCACGTGGATGTCAGCGGCAGCTTTTCGTGAGCGGTCTGCTTTTAGGGCCCACATTTGCACACTGCGAATTTAAATTATTGCATTACCTTAAAGAAGGATGGCTTTGATAAAGTTGACTTCATCAGGGGCTGCATCAAGAGCTTGCACTATAATGAACCAGTTAGTTGTTCACACGCCATGCAAGGTGTGGGTTTGTAACATGGAAGCCGCTGTGGAAGTGCCTTTAAACTTGGGAGTCAGATATTAGCCTCAGTTTGGGGCAGGGAAAGAAATCTGGCCTTGCCCCAGCCTGTAGATCTGTGAGTTTAATAATGCAAATTGATGTCAAGGGAATTATGTAGAGCCCAGCATTTCACGTGCCTGCACACAAGACGGCATGCTCAGAGGTCGCGTCAGAGACAAAGGGGATGTCCAAAGGAAACGTTCCGGGGGCCGCGCTCACCCCGTCAGTGCCTGGGGTGGGGAACTGTGCTTGCATTTTGGGAGGGGGTGCCCAGAAGCAGCTCAGTGACTGGTTAGTGGGGCGACATACCCTGCATTTCAGGGGACACGACTGAGAACCTTGTAATTATTCATATTCGTTTATTTATTTAAAGTTTTTCTATGCCGTCCCATTACTAAAAGTCTCAGGACGGCTTACAAAGAATAAAAAACCAAGAAACCTTAACAAATAATCACATATCTGTATCGGCCTAGTTGCCAAAGCATAAAGTGGTCCGTGGCCATTTAAAGAGGAAAACGAGGGCGCAGCATCTCAGGCAGGCCCTCCTCATGAGCAGCCCGACTTTGCGCATCTGCGCTTGTGAGGAAGTCGAGTCGGCACAGGTCGTGGGATTTCCTCTTGAGCAAGCAGAATTGACGCTCCACTGTTGTGCCGCTTATTTGTATATTATGTTTATGACATGCTTTTTTTCTTGCAAGGAATTCCGCTCGCATAAGCACTTCCCTCCCCTCCGTTTCCCGTCACAGCAGCCCTGTGAGGGGGGTGCGGTGAGAGCTGGCGGCTGCCCAAAGCCTCCCAGGGAGCTTCGAGCCCCCTCTCCGTGGGAAGCAGAACCCCAAACCCCGTCCTGGCTGACAGGCGGAGCGTGTGATAAAAGGGCAAGGCAGAATGCTGGTTCAGCGTGGAGCTGCACGCGTCAGGCCAGACCACAGAGCTTGAAGAACGCACGGAATTCGTGTGAGCGTGGCAGGCAGAGTGGCCGCATGTGGCGCTCGTTCCATGGCTGCCCCCCAGCACTGTAATCCCACTGAAGCAGCCGCCCCTCTTGGCTGGACTGGGGGGCGCAGGGTGGCATCCAGCCACCTCCAGCAAGGTTGTCCAGGTGCGCATCAGGTACTATTTTAGCCGTGTTCTGCCTGCCCTCTCGCAAAGGCCCAGGCTGCTGCGCAAAGAAAACAGACAGTGGCGCAAAATGAAATGCTTGGGCTGTACATACGTCTTTTTCATACGCCCACCCTAGCAGCTTCAGGGCTCGGCCGGACCTTGTGCAAAATGGCAGCAAAGACATTTCGGGAGGGGCACTGCGCTGGAGATGCCGCAGCTGGGGAGGGTGCTGGAGCCTAGAAAGAGACACAGGCAAGGAACGCCCCGCAAAGGCTCAGGCCCTGCCTCAGGGGCCTCTCTCAGGGCCTCTTCCCAGCAAAGAGGCAGCCACTGGGCACCTCTTTGACTGCACCGGGCTCTTTGACTCCCACGACTGGAACGCAACGATGGAAGGATACAGCTTGTCCAAGAAGAACAACAGGAACAGAAAGGAAGGTGGAGTCGGCCTGGATGTTAAAGAGACATATCTCTGCACAGAAATACAGGACAAGCTTAGTAGCCCCATCAAGAGCATCTGGACTAATGTAAATGGGGCAAGGAATAAAGGGAACACGGTGATTGGATCTGTCACTGACCATCCAGTCAAGGAGAAGACGAGGATGCAGGGTTTCAAGGAGGCATGATGTCATTGTTATGGGGGCAACAATTTCCCTAATATCTGTTGGGAGACAAATTCTGCCAAACATTCCCCTCCAAGCGATTCCTAGCACCAGTTGCTTATAACTGCCTCCTACAGAAGGCGGAGGAAGGAACCAAAGGAACTGGCATCTTTGACTTGATTCTAATAGGCAGGACCAAGTGGCAATTATGGGAACTCTAGGAATTAACTGAGGTTAAATGAGGAATGCTACACGCAACAAAAACCCCTTTTCAGATATGTCCATGGTAAAAACAGAGGAGAGAAATGGGGGTTCAGCTACTCAAATGCGGCAGTGCCCAATTCCTACTTTGGCTCAGCCTTCTTCCAAAAGAGGATTTCTGACCCTTCTGAAGTACAAGCTGAAGGAGCAGGATGGCGGCTCAAGACTGACAGGCCAATGGTCAAGGAGCATCTAATTGGGTCGAATGAGTTCAGAACTCCAGGGCCCGATGAACTCCATCCTGGAGTCATTAAGGAGCTGGCAGAAGAACTCTTAGAACCACTGTCTGTAATCTTTAAGAGATCACGGAGGATGGGGAAGTGCCAGATGACTGGAGAAGCGCAGATGTTGTCCCCCTCTTCGAGAAAGGAAAAAAAGAAGAACCTGGGAGCTGCAAGCCCATCAATCTGACATCAGTCCCCAAGAAAGTGCTAGCACAGTCCATTTGCAGACACCTTGAAGATAATGCAGTGACTACGAGAAGCCTGCATAGATTTATAAAGAACAAATCCTGTCACACAAATATGATTTCTTCTTTTGACCGGGTAACCTCTCTGGTGGGCTGTTGGTAATGCTGTAGACATAACGTATCTTTAGCAAAGCTTTTGACGAAGTGCCCCATGATATCCTGACCAGTAAACTAGCCAAAACTGAGATGGAACAACTAGACGGAACAACTGTCAGGTGGCTACAGAATCAGGCACAAAAGAGTGCTCATCAGTGGTACCTTCTCAAACTGGAAAGGGGTACCAGGTGGGGTACTGCAGGGTTCAGTCCTGGGCCCATTGCCCATCAAAATGTTTATTAATGATGTCGATGAGGAAGAGTAGGGAAAGCTATTTCAGATTACACAGGACTGAGTGGGGTAGCTAATATCCTGGAAAACAGAAGCAAGTTTCAAGATGATCTTGATAGGTTGGAATGCTGGGATGAAAACAACAGAGTCAAATGCCAATTTCTGCACCTCGGAAAAGGAGACCAAATGCATCATTACAAGATGGGGAATATGCGGCTCAACAGAACTGCGAGTGAGAAGGATCCTGGAATTGTTGCAGATCACAAGCTGAATAGGAGTCAAGAGTGTGATGTGGATGCAAAGAAGGCAAATGCTATTTCAGGCTGCATGAATAGAGGTACCACTTCCAAATCATGCCAAGTACTAGTTCTGCTCCAGTTCTGCTCTGGTTAGGCCCCATATGGAGTATCTAGTTCAGTTCCGGGGACCACCAGCAGCAGGAGGTGCATCTCACCAGGCTGCAGGCGGGCAGATGTGGCAGGACTTGCTACCTCAGGCCTGGGCAGTTTGTTCACACACAGCTCAGTGCCTGGAGTGAGGCCCCAGCCAGAAGGCTCAGGGGCGGATCCAGAAGCCTTCCCTGCCCCTGTGAGCCACTAGCTGTGGGAGCTAGTCTGACATTATCACAGATTAGTGGGACAGGGCAGGGAAACCTGTTAATTGCACCTGAAGAAACACTTAAGAATCTGCATTTCTTGCAAATCATCCAGGATCTTGCCTTCTGCCCACCTGGGACTCCCTGTAAGCATCTTGGAGAGCTTTGGCATGTCCACATTATGGACACTACTCACCTAAATGCAGTTGATGCTCAGGAGATCGATCACTGTGGCTGCTTCCAAAGCTGAGTTTGGGGGCAAGGCTCCATGTGTGTTTACTGGAAGTCCCAGCGAGTCCGGTCGGATTTCTTGGCCAGTAAGTGTGTGAGAGACCCCTTCTGTCTGAGGGGATCCCAGATTAGGCAGCCAATCCTAATGGCAAGAAGCTGCCCTCCCAGGAAGCACGGTGGGCTGAGTCCCACCTCCTGGGGAGCTCCACAGGCCACCTCTTCCTTCTGGACTGCTTGCTGTGCTTCCAGTGGTTCTCTGATCAAAAGCTTGGCAGGGGTGGGCTGCCTGCCATCTTCTGTGATCTGCAGAGGAGCTGTGGAGACCTTTGGCCCAGACAAAGGCTTGCTTCTGCAGCTCACTTGCCGGGATCAAGCTTGTTCCCAGCAGCTTAAGGGCTCAAGATTTTAGGATGAAGTTGGTCCGAACTTGTCAGGTGTGGATGCCTGGAGCATTTTGGAAGGGGACGCACTGCACCCTGCACAGTGCACTGCAGCCAAGCTCAGCTGAGAGGGAGCTCCCCTTCAGGCAGGTGGTGGGTGGAGAACCAAGACTGGATGCCCCCTGGATGAAGAACTCTAGTCAAAGAGATGTGGGACCGGAGTCCTGCTCAAAGCTGCGGCTCGGAAATAATTTCTCCTGGAGCAGCTGAAGGACTCATTGAAGAGGGCTGGGATCGAAGAGCCAGACCACCAAGCACCTCCCTTTGCGGAGCCCAGGCACATGCAGCAACACAAGATGGACCCCAAACCCTGTGGCACATGGGACGAGCATCCAGAACGGAGCACGCGGACTGTGCTGACCGGCAACTGAGAGTGAAGTGCTGGGGCAGGAAGTTCCCACCTTTCGGAAAAGCGCGGCCTGGAAATAAATACAGGCAAGCGGGGCCCATGAGAAGCCACTAGGCCCCGCTCTCTACCTGGCCTGCTGCGCACATGAAGCCTCTGAAGGAGCCGCTGATTTGGTTACGCTAAAATCTTGAAAACTCCACCAGGGCTGTGGTGGGAAGGGAGCAAAGGAAACTCCATGAAAATGGCAAGGTTTGCTCAACCAGTGCTCCTTCCCCCCGGTCTCCATAGTGCCCGCAGACCGGGCGTTAGTCCCATGCGAGCACGAAAAACAGTGCAATTGACGAGCGTCCTGGGAAAGGGGAGCTTCTCGGCAGCCGCTTGCACCCATCTGCAAATATAGAGTTGGCTATGGAAGGTCGTGTGACTCTGGACTAGGCTTCCCCAAGGAGAGGAGAGCAGGCGTGGTCCAGTTAGCCGGGCTAGGCTGAGTCGGACGACCCGGGTGAGGGCAAGCTGCGGGGAGACCTGGAGGCCAGCCAGGTGGCCAGCAGGACATGTGGCCCCCGGAGCACTGCTGCGTGCTCTCCGCAGCCCCCGCCCGGGCCAGCCAGCCCCTGCCACGCCGATCGCTGGAGGAGCCCTGGAACAGGTGCCCGCCAGGCCGTGCTCCGGAGCCAGCCTGTCCAGAGGGGAGGCGAGGCGATGGCGCCCCCAGGCAAGCCCGGTTCCGACCCGATCTGTGCGGGCGCCGATGCAGCCGAGCGCTTCATGGGCCGGGCTGCGGCGGGCGCGGGCGCGGCAGGGGACGGCCGAGCAGGGGCCGCGTCCTCGTCCCTCGGGCGCGTGTCTGACGGCGACCGCGGCGGGGCGCGCCGATCGATCCGGCTGCAGGTACGTGCCGCCCGGCACACACAGCCCCGCCCGCCCCGGCGATCGGCGAGGCGAGGCGGGGCTGGGCGTCGCCCTGCGCGGGGCGGGCGGGAGGCGCTGCGTGCCGGACCGGGCGGGGCGGCGGCGGCGGCTGCCAAGGCGCTTCTCGCGAGCAGCCCCCGCCCCGCCCCGCCCCGTTCCGTCCCCGGCGGCGGGG